TTCTTGTCAAAGCCCCACCTACCCATGTTTTTTCATTTTCAACCTACGACCCAACTAACGCTGTTTCAAACACTTTGTAGTCGTACTGCCAAAGACCTGAACAAATGTGTAAAATTGACAAAGTTCTCCTTTACTGTCAGATATAAATGCCTTTCTGAGACTTGATGGTGTTGGTCAGAGCTGTGAGCAGCACATTAACGGGAAGAAGTCCAGGATTTGATCAGTCTAAGTCTTAGAAAGTATGATGCAACATGATATTAGAATACAGAAATCAGCTTTGCTTCCACCTTGATACATTTACGCCTACATTTTCCAATTCAATAGATATCAATCTGCTGTTTATCTTCACGCTGTACCAAAGAAACACTAAACGATCAAAGTAAACTGTACAGCTCACTAACGGATGAATATTGCACAATAACCATCAATCATCAGCGTCAGTGTCACAGTACTTTCCCATGAACTGAAGATTCACTCGGCTTGCTCCACCCTGCCACGATAAACCCAGATCGGTAAACCTGCTGTAATGAAGGCTCCAGCAGCCATCAGGTCCACCTCCCCCAGGGTCAAAGAGAGGGAGATTCCTCCCTCCCTTCCCACAGTAGGACCTGTTTGTTTTTCCTGCCTCAGAAACTGACAGTGATAGCCATCTGGTGTGCCTCCACAGTGTTTTGAATATTCCCTTAAAGGCTATTCGGTTCGTATGTAATGATACATGCATGTTGTGCTTTACAGTCTCTGCATGCGGCTAATCTGTTGGGTCACAGTCGCTGCTCATCAGTTATGGTCTTATTCAATGTGGGGTCCTTTATTGTTCTGTCTGGAGACGCTACAAGGAGGGAAAAATAGCTGACAATACAAAATCAATTTTTCATTGTTAAGCGAACAAACGCTCAGATATAGATTATGTCCCACTCTGACCCTGAGCTAATCAAGCTGAGCTGATCACACTGATAAATAACCTCATCTGGACATTTATTGAGTTTTTTCTGCAGTAAATTGCATAAAAACAAGATTTTATTATCTAAATTAGGGCTGAACAATCTGAGGAAAGTATCTAATTGCAAATTTTCAGACAGATATAACTTTTAAAGCCCTGTTTAATTTCAATTTTGACGACATAACAGTGTTAACTTATGTAATGGATCATGACCACCACTGAGTTTTAAATCCTGGGTCTGACTGCTTGCATAACATATGTCCATAATTTCTTATTTACATTGTTTCAAATTGTGATTCAAATTTGAAACCCATTAGTTAATCTGAAAATCTTAAGTCTTCCACGTATGTTGCAACAGAGAACCTGGGTCCCATCTCAGCACATTTGCTACCAGCAAGCTGTGACTTGCGTAATGACCGACATCAGCCAAGAACAGGGCGGCGGTGGCTCAGGTGGTAGAGCGGCTGTCCTCTGATCGCGAGGTTGGTGGTTTGATCTACAGTCGAAGTGTCCTTGGGCAAGACACTGAACCCGAAGTTGCTCCCAATGGCAGGCAGCACCTTGCATGGCAGCTCTGTCGGCATTAGTGTATGAATGTATGTGTGAATGAGAAAACATTTTGAAAGCGCTTTGAGCACCACTAAGGTAGAAAAGCACCATATAAGTGCAGATCATTTAACAACGTTTTGACAAGTCAAGCTGTTCCATCAACAACTTCTATTTATATCCAAATTTAGACATTTCCTTTCCACTTCAAATATTTTTTACTTTGTTGTTCCTGCACAAACTAGTCATGACAAGTCGCCTTGACTGCTGTTTCCTTGTTCAATAGTTACAGAACGCTGCTGCTTCACTGCTCTCCAGAAATCTTAAAAATCAATCACATAAATCTCATCCTTGCCTTCTTGCGCTGGGTCTCTTCTTGTGTTTAAAGATCTGTAGCATGGCAACACTTGTTTCTCTGACAGAACTACTTAACCTGTCTACATTACCAACAGCACCCTTAGGTCCTCCCGACATGATTTATTAATTGCCCCAGAGAGAAAAAGGCTAATCCTAATTTATGCATCAGTAGACATGTTGAAATCAAATTGAACTAAAATTAACTTGTAGTTAGTTAACGATGACGTCTTTGTATATATGAAAAAAAAAATATGTCTTTAATGGTGTTAAAAATTCACTGTGTTCTGTCAGTATAGTATATGTTTGCAAACTTACACTTACTTTTGAGTAAAGTACCTCTCTGCAAACTTATTCTGTTGATAAATCATTGTAGAAATAAACAGCAGCACAGCAGTGCTAAATAAATAACATATAAAGGAAGAATAAATAGCACACAATCCCCTCCTGACACATTTTTCCCAAAGTAGAATGATTAACCGGCTGACACTGTCCATCTGGACGTGGATTAAACTATTAATTTAACTCCTGACACATCCCGGAGGTCTCATTAACTCCACTTCAACGTGTACTCCACCGAGGTGGTTCTCAGCAATGCCAAGAGTAAAAGTACGCCAACACCTTTGCTGCCAGCACCAGGGTTTAAGCTTCTGTTTATGTTTGCTAACAGGCAGCCAACATAACCTTGGGAGCGCACCACTTCACTGAAGAAGCCTTTGAATGCGTCGCGTAGCGTTTCGCGTACGGCTAAAAAACCCTTGAGAGAGCCGTAAATAACGGCTTCTTGTTTCGCAGGTTTACTTTTGTTGAGACGAAAATAAAGCAGGTGCCAGTGACATTTAATGCTGTTGACTTTGGAGTTGTGCTGGGCTGATGAGGCAGACTCCCTCTGGCCCCTGAGGGTTTTTTTTTTTTTTTTTTTTTACGAGTGTTAAAGTTGATCTGTCCAGAGATCAACAGATGTGAGCTTCCACTGGTCTCTGATAACGACCTAATGACTGAGGGGAAGCAGTCTTTGTCTCTGACTAAGTCGAACCTCTCCGTGGGGGGAACAGATCTGACACACTCTGCTGTTTCCCTCGAAAAGCACAATCAAGTCTTTTGTCACATCTTTAAAAGGCTCGGGGCTTTAATGTCTCACAGGAAGAAAAAAAAAAAAAAACATCAGTGTTTCTTACAGTCGATTCAGTGCCGACCGGCTTGTCAGTCGTAATCAATCAGGTAAATGCTCCTGACTTTTTTTTTTTCATTATCCTTGTGTTCACCTTTTTTCGGGAGCTGCAGCTCTGATCGCAGCCAGCCCATCACCCACACAGCGAGCTGCAGACCACTCCACTGTGCACTGTCTGACCAGCTTTGTGCACTGTCCCCATATAGATAACTGTGAAGAGCTCTTAGTGGCGGCTGACAGAGTCCAATCAATGCATGTGCCAGAAAACAGAGAGGCTAATGAGATTTTCCCTCCCTGTCTATGTCATTTTATAACACACATGCAGACATCTGTTGCTGCTTGTTATTCCTATTTTTCCCTTTGGCTTGTGTGCTCAATTTCTTCTATTAAATGCTTCTGATACAGACTTTAGACGGACATAGCATGCAGCCTCATGTTTCAACAGCAAACATATTTAACTTCAGCGACTGGAGAAAATCAGTCTAAGGGCAATGAGCAACCCCTGGATCATGTTTAAAGAGTTGGCATGTAGCACTGATTGTCTACCTTATGTAAGGTGCGACTAAGTGTGACTGCACAGCACACAGCCCTAATCAGCTGCATCAAAACAATCATTAACTAACCTCCTGCTGCCTCCTTCTCCACACACAACACACGGCGAGATTCTAGACACCGAACACCTCAGACTACTTGTCACCCCTCGCGCCCTCTTGTCCTTCACACAGCTCCATGATACAAACATGAACGGCGCTCACAAAAGGCTGAAACGCTATGCTACACACACCAGAAGGGAAAAATAACACGCTTTTACAACACAATGTTCAGTAAATCTGAACATTATGTTGTCCACAAGGTTGTACTGTGATGTGCTGTGTTTTACCCTCAGCTGTAAAAGTGGATTTGAGTCATAAATTTAGCCCTGCACCTTTTTTTTTTTTTTTTACAGGCTTTTACTGCCACATGATAATTCTGGGTGCACAGATGTGATTTTATGCATTACTTATCAGAGCGGCTATTCGGTTAATGGTACAGTATGTTCTACATGTAGGAGAAAAAAAAAGCACAGGTAAATGCTTCAGTTTAGGGTTTTGGTGAGGTTTTATGGTAGCAGCATTATGTGCTTCAGTTGGCAGTAGCGCGTTTGAGGACTGCCGTCCACTCACACGACACCCATGGCTCTAGATAGAGTGTTTGAAACTATCTAATAATGTTTAATTAGCTCTAATGGGTGCGGGCTTATTCAAACACAGAGTTGACAATATCGCTTTCAGAGTTAAATTAATAGCCACAATTTTGCTGTTTATGAAATTGCTTCGTATACAACATGTTACTGTTTGCTGAAAAAAGCCTCACAGCAGTGAACGCTACAGAAAATAATCTACAACTTAATCAACCAGAAAGCAAATTAAATCATATTTAAAGCACATTTTTTCGTCGAGCCTCACCTCAAAAAACTTTTTATTCAAATATTTTCTTTGGGTATATTATGATGGACAATCTGGTGTAATCACGGTGGGGCATTACCCTTTCATTGTCACGTGTTCAGGTTATCTAGAGCAAACATTTAAACTATACACAATGGGTTTTCAGCAGCGACACACCAATCTCCTCTGTGTTTATACTGGCACTTTAATGGTGTAAAGGTTATAAACCCAAGCCATTGGCCGTAATATGAGTGGTGTTCTCCCATAGGTCGGGAGGTTACAAGCGCGCCGCTGATAGGCTGCCTCTGAATGGTGTTAGGAGGAAGCCATCTGCTCCTGTTTATGGTCCATTAACCCCACTGCCCCTGGATAACCAGGCTGCCCCCACAGCAACAGGTTCAAGAGGCGTGGGCTTTTAACTGGGATGATACTTGGATGTCATTTATGTTGGAAAAAAAAACAAAAAACAAGACAAACAAAAAAAAGCTTAAATCTTGCTTCTGCTTCAGTGTGTTTCCTAATGCACAAGATAACTGTCAAACGACAGTAAGTGGAAAGTCCTTACCTTCCCAGAAGTCCATAGGCGTACTGTGAATCTGCCAGCAGTAATGTGATCTCGCCCTTCTGCATGGACATGACACACTCCTCCAGGGCCTACAGGTGTCAAAAAGCCAGTTATTAAGCGGGCTGAATGAGCACGTTTTATCTGTTGTTTTAACTTAATGTAGGGCATTTCAGTTTTGACTACAAGATTAGATTGTGGATTCCGCGTTTTAAGCATATGAACCTGCTTTTTTAGTTATACTGGCTCCAGGAATGGAAATACGAGTCGATCCATCAGTCGACCCACTTTGGTGAACCTATGACTTTGACAATGACCACTTTGAGTGAAATGTCTTAACAACTATTGAACGGACTATAATGAGATCCGGCTCATATCCTCCTCAGAATATCTTGTAGCAACTTTGATAACCAGCTTCAAATTTACATTTTTCTATTACTTTGGTTGATGATGAAATAATTACACAACAAATGACTTCCTCATCAGCATCAGCTGCACTTTGTATTTTGTGATAATCAGCAACTTTTAGCGAGCTAAAACGCAACCAAGATGCTAACACGGCAGAACATACCCTCTAATCATCGTCATCGTCAGCACTGTCACTAGTAGCATGCTGATGTTAGCATTTAGCGAATGCAAACTCACCCGAGCGTGACTGTAGAGTTTTGCTGACATATTTTTAATCATCTCTGGATTAAAACTTAGTGCTACAGACAACCATCCCCTCAAAGAGTCTTAGGGGTTGAAAGCCTTTACCTGGTTTACATCTCCCTCTCCGATAACAAAGACGAGCTTGCAGTCCTTCTCCACCACCGTGCGGTCCTCCAGGACGCACTGCATCTTCACAGCCACCTCCTGGCCCCAGGTGGGATGCGGGGCCTGCAGGGTCCCACGCTCCAACACCTTCTTCCTCAACAGCCGGTCCTCTGCGTGAGGAAAGAAGAAAAGGTCACGCAGGAGGAAGTGGGGTTAATCTGCTAGATGTTGGTGAAGAAACAGCCACAAACACTCCAGTCACGTATTGGTCACTTTTCTTGTTTTGTTGTCGAGGTTTCAATGCAAAATAACACGAATAGATTCGAGTCAAATAAGAGTCACTTTCGGTCAGTCGTATGTTTTAAAGATTAAGCACCAACACCAAGTCTTAAGTCTCTACATGTGACGCTCTGTTCCCTGATGTATCCTCACCTGTGATGTCCTTCCAATCTTCTGCCATGAACAGCTCCTCAAAGGTTGCAGAGGTCCACTCCTCCATTGCGTAATCTGGAAAGAGACTCTCCGCTGAGCTGTCCCTCTCCCCGGCATCGTCGTCCTCCGATGGGTCTTGGAAGCGTACCATCTTCCAGCTGTTTGTTTTTCTCAGTTTCCTCCGCTCCTTGCATTCTGTCCCTTCACTCGGTTTCTCAGGATCAGAGGAGCTTTTTATCTCAGTGTTTTCACTCGTCCCTGCCCCGCTCTCCATTTCAGCCCGCTGGTTCCCAAACAGCTCCTCACCTTCCTCTGCAGGCCCACGGGACAGCTCATTGAGACGGTCCCCGTCAGCGAGCTCAGAATCGGCCTCTTTTACCTCAGGTTCTGCAGGCTCCACTGCAGGGTCCTTATGCTCCTCACAACATGGCTCTGTCTCCATTTCACTCTGAAAAAGTGACGGACACCATCTGCATTAGTCTCCAAGAGAGATGATCCTCTTTGGTCAGCCAATGTTCCACTTAGATGAAGGTTAGTAGTTTTTTGCCACCTATATCCTGTCAGTAGAAACAAAATATCTCCATGACGTAATGTTTTTTTAAAAATCCATGCTGTGTTTCAGTAAATCCAACTCAGAACGCCTCCCTAAACCCTGGCTTCATCTACGTTTTTTTTTTTTTCTTTTTTCCAAGCTTTGTCTCGCCTACAGCTTTGTTTTGCCGCTGCAGTTCTGCTGCACTTTGACCTCTCCGCTCTCCTGCTCGTATCCCTCTTAGTCGACCGAGTTCGTGGCAGCAACAAAAAAAATGATCAATGTAAAGAAAACTGTGCGGCGCAACGAAGCACTCTCAGCCAGCAGGCATGTGCAGTGGTAATCTACTGGATTAGAAGAGAAAAACCTAATCTGCCAGAACGTCTGTAAGCTTCTTAATGACTTCACCGTCGTGCCCCATAATGCAGTTTCCATGAATGCAAAATCTACCAACAAGATCTCAGGACATGCAAGCTCTAACTTAATTTACTTTGAGAGACATTAGAGGATGTTTTTATTCTCGCTTTTTGAGAAGTGCCACAAAACGCACGGATGAGCTTTAATAAACCCCGCAGGCTGTAAAGATCACACTGGATTACAGAATCAGTTTGGGTTTGTTCACAAATATTCTCTAAAACCGCAATGTTCTTTAACCTGCCACAGCTTTTATGTGATGTCGTGGTTACAGAATAAAAAAAAATCAGCTTGAGCTTTAAAACACATTTCAATTTGCATCCACAGCTGCAGTCCAACATCACATTCAGGCTGAAACTAGGATGCACAACATGGTGCATGGTGTTGGGATGTTGAGCTACACATGATCAAGTCCTAGAAAAGTAAGATTTACATGTTTTTTTTTTTAAACTAACTAATACAATAATGAACGGCTAAACTCTTGAGGCACCATGCGCTTGTTCACAGAGGTTGATATAATTAGTGATAATTTGTGGCAACACTGATTAATATGTCAAGAGGCACTTGTGTACAGTTGTGCAGAAACAGCACAGAATATATTATCCAGTTGTTTCACTGATACAAAACTGCAAATCAAGTTTTCCTTTACGCTTCACCAAAGCAACATACACAATGTGTTATTATGTCATGCGTTAGGCTCCATATAAAGTGCCTTTAAAACACATTTTTAAACTCGGAAGAAAGCTTACAGCTCGTGAAGAAAGCATCAAGACAACAGGCTGAGAAATCTGACACTAATCATATTTAGACATCAACATCCTGTGAGCTATATCGTTAATAAAAACTGCTCCACTGATTGTGAGGCTCCTGTTTAATCCACAGCCAAAGCATGTTGTCAATCGGGGGATTAAATTAATCCAAATTCAATTGTCATTTAATTTCTCCGACACACAGACAAAAGATGCGCTTATTGTGAGTAAAATTGCTTTCTTTCAGGGGATTTGTTTGGAGTCTGTTGTTTGTGAGTGCTGTGCTTTGATACCATTTTGATTTTCTTTCATGTTACTCAAGTCCTCACATTTCATGCTAGTTCGTGTTTGTAGTCGACAACATTTCAGAGGAACATATCGCCCTCATCACGCCACTGGTTTCTGTTTCTCACATGGTGATCGTATAAAACTATGATGCGCTGTCATAGACTCAACTGTTCAACACGCTACAGTGTAGTTAAAATTAACTCCATGAACTTAACATATATGTCATCATATAACATTAATATGAAAAAGAAATCTAATCTGCACCAGTTAACTGATCGATCATTTTATCCAAACTTCAAGCACATTTGTTTGACAATTTTGTAATAAATTTAATTTACAGGAATTATATATTTTGTAGTTGAAAAAAAAAATAGTTGACTTTTAACATGTTGCTTTTGGCTTTCGAAAAATTACGATGATCACTTTTAGCTGTTTTCACATATTTCACAGATACAATAACTGGAGCCTGACCGATATATACGTTGGCCAATGTTATCTGCAGATATCGACTTGTCACCAATATATCAGTATTGGTGTATACGTTGTCCAATATACGCCACATGAAACCCGTCTTTTCTCGAACAGATAAAGATTCATGCGGTAATTTAGAAACAGTGTCATCCCATAGTTCGACCAGTGGAGCGACTTCGACTCCATTGTTTACAACATTCTCAACACTGTCTGCAGCACATGTAGCAGAGTACGTGTCACAGATGAGGAAGTAGAAACAGTCAAGCTGTGTCTTAATGCTAAGCCGCTAACTAGTTTGACAGCTCAAACATACTTTATGTAAATGTATAAACAATGTCAACTGATGTATTGATTCACAATTTTATATTCTCTAAAATCAGCCCCAAAAAAAGTCAGCACCTGTCGGACTCGAATTCAGTGATTAACTGAGAAAACATCAGGCAGACGATAAAAATATTTGCTAACTGCATCTAGAATTCAGAAAGAAGATATTCTGAATAATAGGTACTTTAAAAGCAAAGCTGATTTAGTTGATGATACATAGTCAAACCTTTTAGAGTATTTGCTGCCATCTCTGATTTTCCTGAAGTTTTTATAGCAATAAATATGGACATTTTATAAAGATAGTTGTAAAATTTCAACTTATTATGTAAAATACTTGCTGAGATAATTGTTTGTTGGTTTTTTTTAAAGGACCTACTTTCTGCATATTTTTTGCACATTGAAATTTGAGGTGTCACAGGATCTATCAAACATAAAATATGGAAATGTTCACTGTTATTTCTCCCCATGCCAATAGTTGGTCCAAAATCTTAAAAAAAAAAAAATGTGCCCATATTAAAAACAATTATTTTCTTATTTATATTTGGAGGACTATTTTAAAACTAGTGAACTCTGTTCTACTTGCCGTGGCTATCTAGACTTTTTTTTTTTTTTTTTTTTAAGATTTTGTGGTACAGCTACAACTAACTAACAACAATTGTTCAATCAGTTATGAAAGTTTTATTTTTGTGATCAACTATTTTATATTAAAAAGTATTCTGTTTTGTTTTGTATTATCATGACATCCAACTACACATGGATCATAAAATATCACATGTTGACTTTAGAATTTTTAAATAACGTGTGCTCAAAAATAGGACTTTTCATGAGGTTTTATTTCAATCCACTGACATGATCAGAGATTATTTCATCTACAGTATTTTAGATGCAGATTGTGAATCAATGGCATGATCAGAAATAGAAGTAACAACTACAGACTTTATCTTTAATAGTTCCTGAGACGTAGTCATCCAAACACAGCCTCAAATTTCAACACACGGTTACAAAATGTGCTGAGTAATTTTATTTTACTACCTCGAAAAGTACTTGATATATCAATCTGAAGATAACATATATGTTTTTAAATATAAATAGTTTATGACAAATAAAGTTTCAAGCAAATCAGATGGACAAGCAGCAGGCTTCTTATGATTTGAGACAGAATGACACTTTACTTGAGTAGAAAAAAAAGAAGTAAGCATGAATGCTGTTGCTAAAAAAGTCATTTATGTTGAAGCTTTTCCCTGTTTCTTCCTTTAACAGTGCATCTAAAGTTTGATAAAGTAAACTCATATGTGTTGATGTTACATTAATGTTGATTTCTTTACTCTACATTAAAAAAAAGAATAATCATGTAAAGTTAAACTAACTATTTAGATCACACAAACCAATATGAGCAAACCACGCTCAAAAGAAATATATGACCTGGCATTATAGTATGTTATAATGCATTTTAAATACAAATAGAGACTCTAATGTATAAGGCAAGATATGTTTTAGATTTTAAAAAATGATCAGTTAATAATTTAATTCACAGTTATTCAAAGGTCCAAGATCACGTGTTCACAAAAACAGCAAATTCTGGCATTAAGGAAACTGTAAGCATCTGTCTGTGAGTGTATTTATACATCCTCGTGTGTGTGTGTGTGTGTGTGTGTGTGTGTGCTGCAAAAAAAAAACAAAAAAAAACACACACACAGAGTACATTTAGTTAAACTCCAGCTGCAGGAGAAGCAGCTTGGATGAAACCCAGATCCAGAATAGATCAAAGAGCAGATAAAAACAGACTGGAAACAAAATGTCCAAAGAGCGTTGACCTGCAAAGCGAAAGTAAAATACTTTCTTACTTATTTACTTTTGTACGTCTAGTGTTCATGTGTGTGTGTGCGTGTGTGTGCGTGTATGTGAGCGTACGTGCCAGGCGTGCGTGCTCCGGCTGGCCCCGCCCACACGTCGTCTCCCCGGTGACGTCTCCGGCAGAATGTCGCCAATAGGCTTCAGTTGTAGAAATGGCAGCGCTGAGACAGGAGCATCGGTATGGGCTCTCCTGTGGCAAAATCAACAAAAACAACCCCAATCAAACTCTGTACCACGTCAAACTCACTGACACTGCCATCCGGACCCTCGAATCCTACCAGAACCTGAAGGTAAGAGAAAAAAATCCAGCTTTAACTTCTTCCAGCTTTTTTCTTCTTCTTTTAATCTATATATATATTTCTTCTTCTTCTTCTTCTCCTCAATCGCCTCCCAACTCCGGGAAACTGTATGGGAAACACAGCTTGTTCTGCCCAGTAGGAGGAAAAGAAAAAAAAAGAAGAGTGAAGTTTAAAGTACTTGCTTGATCATGTGTCATCGAGCAAATGGCTGAGAAATTGTGAGCTGCGTTAGTTTATTCTGGCTCTGGTGAAGGAAGCTGGATTTATTGTGAACTTTGATGAATGGATTCTTCTGTAATCTCTGACTACATTTATTTATTTTTAGCATTTCATCTTTTTTAAAAAAAGGAGAGAAGTTCGCGTCGTTTTGCTTGTTTACAAGATCCTCCCGAAAAAGAAAGGAGAAAAAAAAAGAGAGAGAGAGAGAGAAGGGGGAATTAAAGTTCCCATATGACAGGGGTGTGTGATTGTGCCCTGAGCGCTGTTTTTTTTTTTTTTATACGGACTACGCAGCCTACATTACATCTGAAATGTATTATTTAGATTATGGGCGAACGCAGATGACTGTCGGTCATTAAATGTTTCTAAAAAGGCAGTTTTCCTCTCCGCCTGTTCCGCTCTCGGGAATAAATTAATGAACAAGCTATCAAGCAAATTATTCCGACTCCTCTGAATCGGGAGACTGTTTTATTGCCTTTCTGGTCCATTAGATTAGACCGAGATAATTTAGTCTATCCAAATGGTCTTTCCCAGAGCAGTGCTTGATAAGACAGTCCCACAGTTATGACTGCAGGATCATTCTGGTTGTGTCTTCTGGGTTTTTTTTTCTTTTTCTTTTTCTGAGCCGTCAAAACAAATAAGCGTATTTACGCGTGCGCCACAGTCGTGCGCTGTAATAAAACTGGATGTAGAGGAGAGGGGGGGATCGGTGGTTCAGTATTTTTGGGTTCGTTGGCACGGATCTGCAAGTTGTTGCTGGGCTCTTGTGTATTGTTGTTTTTTGCCCTTTACACGCCTGGAAGCCCGCCCATCTCCGGAGCTCATTGGTCTGTGAAGCAGAGTAAACTCCAGAGCTCATCCAGCCTGACAGCTTCCTCCAGGCCACAGCAGGCAGGAGAGGTTACTGCCAAAGTTTTCCAAGTCAAAAGACCACCCCTGAAAATACACTTTTTTTTTTCTTTTTAGACCAACTGCAGTGTGGAGGATTCTTGGAACCTGAGCGAGCTTCTGTTATTAATTCAGATTTATTTATGATTTTCATGTCTGTGTTGGGTCGGGGGGTGAGGAGATGGGCTTGTGAAACCTAAAATACACTCATTTTATGCATGAAATTATATGATTATGTCGCTATTGATCTACCTGATGAGCGTTTTCTCATGTTGAATTGTTTGGTCAATAGAATAGGAATGCTTTATTCATCCCCAATGAAAATCTGGTTGTTATAGCACAAAGAGTAAAGTTACCACCACAGTAAATACTGATAAATAATCAACAATAAACAATAAGAAAACATAAAATGCAAAATGTACAGAGTAATATCAGAAAGTATTGAACATTTCAAGCATCACAACAACCTAAAAGCAAAAAAAAATCCCAGTAGGAGTCCCGCAAGGCTCATACTAAAGAAGTCTTAACAAAGGAAGTACTTTTGATTTAAAATAACTTCAACGATTGAACTTCTATTAAAATACAGAGTAGTTCTCTGATGAGCAGCAGTTTCAGCACATACAGTCGCAACTTCATCAAGCCAAAACTCTTTAAATACCTTTTTTTTTCTTGCATAAACAACATATAAACACATTCAAGTTGCCCAAAACCTGCAAAAGCACCTTGACACCTTGTTTGAAAATCGACTCAAGCGTCATTTAAATCTCGCAACATTTTCATTTGCGTGTCACTTTTGTGTCGATGGACTAATCGGTTCATCTCTGCCACTTTCTAATCTAACGTGATAGAGACAGGCGGCATTGTCTTTGCTGAGGGTTAATAATTCATCCACTAATGCTTTATAGATAAGGTCAATATCAACAACTTTGTGGTTTGTTAAGTTGTACACCATTCATTTGTCTTATTTTTAATTTTTTGGGGGTTGCAGTTACCAAATGATGACAATCCCTTAATGGGTTTGTAATTCTCTGACATGTCATCATGTCTGCAGTTGCAATAGTTAATAAACAGATTGCGGTTTAAACACTTCAGATGGAGGAGGATTAACATTGTCCATAAGGGTTTTTCTTCAACCTAGCTGCCAAAAAATCTTATTAATGGATTCTGGCTAATAAGTAATCCAAAACAAAGCATTAGTAAACAATTTATTACCAGTAATAACAACTTATTATCAAGCCACCATAAAGGGAATTCTAGTAAACCACTAATGGTTTCAATTCTATCAAATTGTTAAAGTAAATAATTCAAAACATGAATAAACATTCTCAGCTTTTATATTCTAATTTTAGCAATAAGCAGCGATCTCTCCCATAACGACTGACTCTCTATAAAAATGGTCAAATCTGGACCTTTAACAAGTCTGATTTTGCCCTGCGGCTGTGTTTGTAATCTGTAACAAGCATTATGTGCTCTAATATTTATTATTCCATTCAATATTAAAAGCTAACGGGTGATGAAGAAAATCACAACAATGCTCCTCAATAGGGAAGACATTTCTCCAACCATTAATAATAAATTAAGAGTCCTGTCAATCACATGCACAGCTGTACTTCACAGATAATAGTCTCCATCTATTAACCATGTATCATGTTGCCTCAAAGGCAGGAATTTTTTTCTTTTACGATTTTAATATTTCTTTATCAGTAGGGGGGGGGAGGGAGAAACAGCAGGATGTTGGGGAGCTTAAGCCAGGTACACTGTGCTCTTGGAGAGCAGTTCAGTTTTTACAACACACGGGGATATAAAAATATGTTTTTAAACGAAATATAATTAGTTTCAGAAGGCGCTTTGTCTTTCCTATGAGATTTGTTTTTAGTTTTTATGATTTTTTTTTTTATTTAGAGGGGAAAACTCACACAAACATGCTCGGCAAACAGGAGAAAAGTTCACAGGTTAGGTCATGGACTGAGTCATTGCACACATTCTCTTTAGATCAGCGCAACAAACCGTGGACCTTGGGGAACAGCATTTATGTCAGTGTTTTGGCATTTGAACTTTACCAAACCTTGTCTCATCAAGCCAAACCACAGCTACCTTGACAAGAAATTCACTGGGCAGAGCAGGAACAATGGCGATATGTTTTCCACTCATAATGTATGAGCTGTCCATTAGATTAGGGATGAACATGATTCGTGAATCCGTGACCAGTTTCTTCTGTCTCTCTCTCTCTCTCTCTCCTCAGGCATCACTATCAAATCAGCCAGCGATTTGCTTCAAGGGGAGCCAGGGGGTAAGATGTTTTGCATACTCTCCCTAATGCCTCAGAAATTGAACACTCTAATTAGTTCTGATTTGCTGTGGAGCGCACTCATGACAGTTCCTCTGGACATCTTATTTTATTCTTAAGTATCCGATAAGCATTGGCCCGCATCCAAGAAGTGGTCGGCCTTGTGATTTTCCAAACGTTTGGATGATTTTAGTCGTATTACAGTGAGTTGGTTTTATTTTAGTGAGTATGGCTGCTGTCTGTGCACCAGAACCTGCTGCCTGAAGGAAAGGTGTCATTCATTTGCTCTATGTTGTGTCACATATACTGCTCTAAATGTGCATACACAGAGAGTAGGTACATAACCTACAAAAAAAAAAAAAAACACTTGGTACTGAGAGTAAGAGGGCATTCCTGTGAAGCGGCTGCAAAGAAAGATGCCTGTGTCCGGCCAGATTAGCCGGGCCAGCATTACACCCTCCCCAGCTCTGCCCGCTAGGCTACTACACATTTACCACACAATCGGCCCTGTCTAAAAGGAGCTGTTCTAATCCCCGCAAGAGCCGATTGCATTGACGAAAGTGACTTTGCTCTGTACACAAATGCTAGCCCTGTGTGCTCACACGGGCCCTGGAAGCCCTAAGACAGGGTACGCTATACCCCCAGGCTGCTAGCCAGGTTACTGGGTCAGGCCTGCAACTGGGGAGGCTTTGTTCTGGGAGGGGGAGGAGGTAGGGGAGTTGGCAAACCCCAGGGAGCCCCCATGCCTCCATGCCTGTTGTGTCTGTGCAGACATGAAAGATCTGAAATACAGGAATGGTACACAAGCGCTGGAATTTTTCTTTTTTTTTTTTTTAATCCAGGAAAACACACAAAATATGTCCGAAACCCAAATGTTGTCTGTAAACAAGTCCTGAAACATCTGTCGAAGGAACAGCAGATTAACCTGCTTATAAGTCTTTCTGTGAAGCAATGTTAAGTGAGTGCAATTTAAGTGTGCTTTAATCACTGAATAGGATTTGGTGATTATATCTTGGCTGGCACATTACATATTCAAATTGCTTTGCGGAATTCAAGCATGGGCTCCCTCCCCCTCTGACAATAGTCCCGGAGCTGGACGATTGGGCATTAATGAGGTAGCTGCAACCATTGGTGGTGGGGGAGGCCAGATTAAGCCGTTAGTGGGGGGAGGATGCTGGTGAACATGGCAGTCTGGCATACAACAGACCAAGAGGATATCCAGTATCTGTGTCTCCGGGTTGGAGGGTTACAGCGTCCCAGATGTCGATATTCCACTGGTTTTTACTCGCTAGATAAGTGTTCGCGAGAGCTCATCCCTTCCCCAAAAGCAGCATGAGGTTCAAGAGGTCATGTGTCCGCTGACAGCTGCCAACTGTAGAGCTTGATCGCTAAAAAGCCATGACTGCTTCTTTCTGATCTTTGTCGCCACTGGCTCATGTCACGTTTCCTGTAAAGGGGCACTTCTGGGGCCACAAAAACCAGAGGAATTCTCCAAATCACTGTGCTGGCGTCACTCCAGGGCTCAGCGGTATCAGGGGCCAGGGCTCCTATCGAGAAATAGCACGCTGAGGTTTTTCGGCTGCTTTTCTCTCCGTCCCTGCGGCATTTAGCCCTGCCATTGTAAACTGTCTGCCAAGCTTGTAATCATGCAATGAAAGACACAAGCTCTCAGATGCCCCCGAATTTGGTGTTCAAAGCAGCTATGAAACTTACAAATTACTTTAGAATCTTGTTAACCTCGACTTTTACTCACATTTGTGCGGTAAACAGACTTATCGGAGGAAAGTGAGCTAAAGGGGTGTAATCAATAAGAAGCATCTGGAGCAGAGAGAGGAACTCTAAAGAAATAAAAATATTAGAGATATACTCGTTTTTTTGCACATTTCATAAAAGCTTGACGTTAAATAAAACAGATTTTGGATTACTGTGAAATCACCACCAGGGATTAAAGAATATATTCAGAGCTGATCTGGGTTCCCATAGCTTGGAATTTCACATCCCAGTGCTTATTTTCCTTTGGAGTTGGCAACGCCACCTGCTTGTTGGCATGATCTATATCCATTTAGTCAGAAAAGAACATAGATCTTATTTATTAGATCATCGCTGTAAGGTGCATGTTGAGGGAGCGGTGCTGCTTGTTTAGATGCACATACTTCACATATTTCCTTGATGCTTCCACTCACTCGTGTGGAAGTTGATGCAACCTGAATCTCACCTATTACATTGAAAAGTTGTGACATGATAGTAAGTGGTGCAATATTATACCGTAGCATGAAATAAACACATTTTTTATGAGTGTAATATCGTGATGTTTAGCGCGGACATCATATTTGAATACGGTGCGTTGAGCTGTTTCAGGTGTGACATCGGCTTCATTTCCTCCTCAGTTCATAAATGTTGAATTGCAGTTGCCAGAGTAATTGTTTTTGTTTATGGCCCTGTCTGTTTTTATGTGCACAGCTGTCACATAAAGGCAGCGGCGTTGGGATGAGGGGAATGTAGAGGTGCTCTTAAGATATTCTCATGACGAGTGTGTGTGAAGGCAGAGCTTCCCCTGGGCTCCCTCCCGCCTGCCCTCTTGATTATTGTGCCATTTCACCCCATGCCTTGGCTGAATCCTTGGGAGACATCAGGGCCTCTATCTCACACATGGCTGCTCTGACTCTACCCCCCGCCACCACACCGCTTTGCTTCGCCTCGCGCTGCAAATAAGCTTGTGCACTGTGCGAGTGTGTACGTGTGCATGCACACATCTTTTTTTTTTTTTCTTCTGGAAGCTAATTAGAATAACAATAACAGGAATGTGGTTTGAGAGCCGTCCTCTCCCAGTGGCATAGCAGTGAGAGGGAGAGTTGTCCCACGTGTTTCTGAAAGGGCACACGCCGCTCTATTCATCCAGATGTGTTAAGCGAGGCAAAAGTCCCTGTGTTCTCTGCTCGTCTGAGGCCCACTGTGTTTATGCAGAGCCAGTGGGCCTTAGGATTTTCGGATCGTACAGTATATTTTAGGAACAAGAGTCTCATGAGGTCCTACAGTTAAAGAGGAGTTCTCTTTAGTTAGCTCCTCTGTCATTATAGTATTCTTTTGAGGAACGCCATTGTGTTTGTGGCTGTGTTTTAACGGTATTTGGTTACAACAGTGCTGCAAAAGATCAGAAATCGATGGCACAAACTGGGCAGGCAGGCAGGCAGACTAATGGTGGTCACATTTAACTATATAAAAACACGTCCATTCGCCTGAATTAGAAGCGCAGTGAAACACATAGAGAGTTCTGTGTTTTGTGGCTTTGTGTTGTTTATTTACATTCCAAGCTAATCTGGACCCATAGAGCTAAAGAAACTGAAAACACCAGTGAGAAGAACTCTCAATAACAACACCGGCTGTTATGAAAATAGATTTAGGGAAGATGCAGATTTACACGTGTTTTTTTGGATGCTAAAGCTACAGTGTGGGACTGTTACATACAAATGAGCAACACAATGCTGATTAAGCCTATCACAGCATCCTTTTACATCTGCTTTCTGTGGCTATATTTCCATGCTGGCACACTGGTAGAGATGCATTTTGACCTTAACCAGCTATGATTTGAGTTGCACAACCATAACAATGGTGTAGTAACCCGGAGTATGACAGTAAAACACAGGAAGTGTCCAAGAAACGTTTCTGATGATCCAGATAATAAAGAAACTCATTCCTCGGAAGGAGGATCACAGTCTAAAAAGGAAAGAGAAAGTATACGTCATTTACATGCAACAGCAGGGTTTGTGTTACAGCTCTTGCTGTCAGAAAGGAGAGACAAAAGTTCCACACTGTACATTGAGTTATACATAGCAAGCAAAGCCTTGATCAATAAGAGATGAACAACAAGGCAACATACAGGAAAAGGATGCTGCTCCACAAGGAAACGCAAGTGATTATGTAGTCATGTATGCAGATGATAAATATTTGTAAAGTGGGCCCAGCGATGTGGCAGTACAGTCAAAGCTATTAAACTAAAGTGTGAGGTGTGAACTGGTACACTGGTAATCACAATGAGTACACCATGGTTCTTTTAGGTTTTAAAGATTTAACCATCTAAACCTCAAAACCAGTTTCTTTTTTTTTTTTAATCGCCAAAATTACATAATCCATCAGGTTCAGAAACTAGAAGAACAGAAAGAATCACTGGATTTCCAAGTTTCCGACAGTCGATGAACTACTCACCTGTGATACAAATCTAAGGTTAAAATCGGATAATTTCGTTATACGTGTCCCATTTAAAAATTTGCCAAGAATAAATTGTTTTCCTTGGTGTAGCTGAGAAGCCATTAGTGACTCAGCTGTGACCAATGCTCCCATGATAAAAATTCAGGGACTGTTTGACTGAACTGGGCTGAACTGGAGGCTGTATTTACACACAGAGCAGATAGGACACAAATACAAAATGTAAATAGTATAATATCTATAGTTCGTAGAGTCACCATTTTTTTCCCAGTATTGGGGACACCTGCAGCACTTGGAAAAATGTTGTACAGGGTGATTCAAGGTTTTAACCTTTTTTTTTTCTGTAGAATAAATAAGTAAATCAACTTTTCTTTATTTTCTTCATTCATGATTTACAACATAACTGTGCCACGCTGCACTATGTTTGAGTTCTCACTACTTCTAGCTGTTGTTGTGCTTTCTCCATGGAGGTGCAGGACTTTAGGTTGAGTAGCATAAAGTCCAAGTAAAATATTAGCAAACAGCAGCAAAAAAAACCTTCCAGAAACCGCTTGGAGTTCAGAGGGTTAAACTGTCTCTGCTACTGCTAGTACTATCTACAATAACACTGTTGCACATGCATATTAAAACAAGTACCCGTGTCCTTTCTTGCACCTGTATGTTGAACATGTTTGACAGTTCAGGCACAGTGAGTGTTGTCTGGCTTACCTCTTCAATCCATGCAACCTGATTTTACACATCACATCTTGGTGCAATGTTTTTGGATTTTGCCCCTCTTTGTTCAAGTTTCCCCTGCAAAG